TTGTTGGCAGGGCCATCCATAGTATCTACAAATAAGAATAAAGCGGAAGTTGCAGTTTGTGAGCTGGGACCAATTCAACGATAGACCTAAAGTTCTGAAAATGACATGAAAAATGAAAGGAGAAGAGCGACGATAGAACGGAAATGGAGAAGATGTAGTAACTTGTTCGTGTTGGTATCAGAAAGGAATTACCTGCGTACGACTCACTATTTGCATAAAGCTCCCATTTCTCTGATAAGCATAAGCATCATATTATAAAAGTGTTCAAGAGGTGCTTAAACATTTAGAAAAAAAGCTTCTCCTTTTTTCTCCTCAAAAAACAAGATGCTCAAGAATCAACTTCGATAGCTTTTCGTGTCAGCCCGCTAGTAACACAATCGCCATCTGAACCAGAAGTTCAAATCCTAAACTCTTTACAACGTATGCTACTAAACTAAGGTAGTATGATGTTATATAATAGAAGTGAGACAATAAGATTTTGTTAGGCTAATGTTCAAATAAAGTGAAAAAGCAATTCGATTAAGAATATTCATCTTGAAAATCCCTGGCTCGCGACCCCGCCATTTGTGCGGAGGTTGAACTAAAGGACTGGAGGTTTCTTACTGGAGCAATAAGTGCGATCCAAGCGTTAACCAACTCATCTGGATGTTTGAATAAAGTTTAACAAAGTACAATGACGTCTTGTCATTTGTTCACTTCGTTGGCAAATATTGTTGGAAATCTTATCTATATTATATAGAAATATCTGTGTACATATATATACATATATATATGAATATAATATATATCAATATCTATATAGATATGTATACATATATGTATGTATATAAATCTAAATATATATATATATATATATCTGAAGTTGACTTTTCAAATTGCCATTTTCTCCACTGCGTAAATTGCGATCACAGTTTCAGTTGCTTGAGGTCATAAAGTGTTTCGTTTTTTTAATTGCTAAATATCTGCAGATCTATTATGACGGGTACATGGGAGTTCATCAAAAGGCACAAAGGGAAAATCATTGCTGGTGGAGTACTGATTAGTGGTGCTGCTGCATACATGATTCAGAATAGTTACCAAACTCACACATTTAAGACAGCAAATTCTTATCTTCAGGACAGCATCATGGCGCAAGTTAGTTTTTCTCCTTCGTATTCTTCTCTCCTGCTAATCCTTTGAGCATGCTTGTAGTGCAAATTCAACGTTTAGGAAAGACGTCGCTATATATTTGATACAAACCAGCGAGCTTGTGACAAGTCTATAACTGACCTTGTGAAGGAGCTGAAAACACGTGTACAGGTGAGTTGTAAGTAGTTATGGTTTTCAACATTTGGTGCATTCTTTCTATGTTGTTAGCTGTCAGCTTCAGTAATCCTTTGTTGCAACTTATTTGCTAATTGCTAATTCAAGAGTGCATTCTTTCAAAAACATTTAA